ATAAATAAAATTTTCTCATTGAAACTGCGTGCTCGTGGATGTTAATATTCGTTAGTGCTTATTTTCGGTACTCGGTATATACAACTCGGGGACACATTTCGAACAGGAAAAAATCAAAAAGAAATATTAGCAACTGAGGGGAGCATCCAAAGTTTGTCTATCTGACTATTCATCGAAGCACAGCTGGTAATATATCGTTTTTATATCCCACATTCAATGCAGTTTAAAATAAACATGAACACATTTAAACTTTGTCATAATCGCATGGAGATAATAAGGTGTTCACAGAAAGTATTTTGTAAGCAAGAAGACATCTACCATTTCTAAGAATATGTAAATTTGTGCGTGATTTTCACGTGGCTAGAGATGTATTTCAGAGATTTATTTAGGAGAGAGGATATTACATATCTTTTGTGATGGTTGATGACAAACTATTTTTTAAGAACATAGGTTATAGTTTAATCTCGCATTTTTATATCATGGCGTCAATACGAGGATCCTATTTAAGACTAGTCAGAGGTTAAATCCGTCAAAAGGTACAGCATTAATTTCTGCATTAAATAAATATATATATATATCCTTAATGGACTGGATACGGCTTTTGCAGCCAGAGGTCGGCCGAGCTTCAGTCCATAACGGTTTTATCATACACATTATAGGTATAATTGCAATTTTACCACAGCGTAACCTCAAATAAACAACGTAATTTAGAATAACGCATTTTGTTTTGATTGGTGAAAGGTTGGTGCGCTGGGTCAGGCGTGATACAGGAAAATATTGCCCCAATGTGAGGGCGCACTTTCCATAGCCTTACGAGACAGGGTAATATTTAAAGGGGTGTGAGATAATATACATTTCTGGACAGAGGGATTTCGTTGGCAGAGACCAGATTTCCAACTGATAAAACGATTACCATAAAAAAGGAGTTGAGAAATTCCTTAACCTTCAGGCAGCCAAACTTTCTACATCAAATGTCACAAAGAGAAATTGTATAAGGCACATCGTTGGCTGCACTTGATCAATTAACATCATATTATGGTATGTAGTTTTACATTCTACTTTCATTCATTTGACAAATAATTTTTGTAGGCAATACATTCATAAACAAATAAACTATATTCACTATAAGGTTCTGTTTTGCAACATTTCAACTTGGTACTTAGTCATCCTCGCACAAGACTGCAGATAATGCTGTTCTGCCAGGGTCTCCCTTCGTTCAACCATGGCACGTTTCTTTTTAATAGAGCAGTCAGAATCACAATAAACAATGTCGCTGTTCGTAGTGATGAATCAGAGAATTATGTCTTTAGCAACACAAGCATGATGGTGAAGTCAATACCAAGTTCGAACAATGTTGCTTTCATAGTGATGAATCAGAGGATTATGTCTTTAGCAACACAAGCATGATGGTGAAGTCAATACCAAGTTCGAACAATGTTGCTTTCATAGTGATGAATCAGAGGATTATGTCTTTAGCAACACAAGCATGATGGTGAAGTCAATACCAAGTTCGAACAATGTTGCTTTCATAGTGATGAATCAGAGGATTATGTCTTTAGCAACACAAGCATGATGGTGAAGTCAATACCAAGTTCGAACAATGTTGCTTTCATAGTGATGAATCAGAGAATTATGTCTTTAGCAACACAAGCATGATGGTGAAGTCAATACCAAGTTCGAACAATGTTGCTTTCATAGTGATGAATCAGAGGATTATGTCTTTAGCAACACAAGCATGATGGTGAAGTCAATACCAAGTTCGAACAATGTTGCTGTCATAGTGATGAATCAGAGGATTATGTCTTTAGCAACACAAGCATGATGGTGAAGTCAATACCAAGTTGGAACAAAATCGGTTCATGCATGCCCGAGAAACAATTGATAACGACCAGTTGGTCAAGGTTCAACGAAACAACTAACAAAATAACTAATGGTCTTGCAGATGACTCACGATGCTTTAACTTTGAACGAAATTGGCCCAGGCATTTTCAAGAAATTATGTCACTCGAACAGATAGAACCCCAAACCTAAGTCCCTGTTAGGCAAAAAACCACGAAAATGGGCATACATTTTTCCCAAACTTGTCCAAAAAAAGACATCTTTTTCACACACTTTTGCTAAATTGAAAGGGACATGGTCTGGTGGTGAAAATGATTGAATTCCAGTTAACCTTACACAGGTAAGATCAATTTGTTTATACAAATTCAGTGTTTGTAGCAAAACAAAAAAAACAATACACTTGTTTTCATAGTTGTTACTTTTTTATATACTATACAAATGGAAATTAACAATGCAAACAATAATATTGACAAAATACATGCCAATGATTCAAATGTTGTTTTCCAATTGTTCTATTGTCATAATACATTAAATAATATTTATATATACATATATGTAAACAATTATACTATAAACACTAAATATAATATCTAGTTTTGCATAATTAGCTACGGTTCTTGGCCCACCCAACAACCAAAGAGACTCTTATTGTAAGGTAAACTCAAAGTTTTCCACTAACACATCATGCACAAATAAAGTGGCAGATAATGGAACCAAAGTCAATATTATTTTAAAATGTTTTCAATGGCCAGTGTTAGCTAATGCATGACATATGGATCCTACCTTGTTAAACACTGATACAATACAAATGGATGAGATGAACATTATATATATATATTATGAACATAGCCACATAGTTAAGCAGTCTGTTCATAAAAAAACAAACATTTTATTTATAAAAATGAATTAAAAATTCATTCATGTACAATCATTTTCATGAAGGTGTGAACCACTTTTTATAACCCATTTCACTAATCTACAATGTTTTAGCAAATGAACATCACTATTTACCTATTTACAATGTCTCTTTCAATGAACACCTGTATTGAATCGCACAAGGGTTAGTTTGACCTTGGACAAATCACAATAAGTTCCATGCTACGAGAAAATGGATTAAATTTGAAAAGTTTCAATAAACAATGTTCACACCTACTTGAAAATGATTGTAAATAGGTTTTAATCCATATTGATTTGTGTTTCTTGTTACCCGAGTGTTAGTGTGAATTAAAGAAATATGCACAATTCTCCATTCTGCCAAATTCAAACCTTTAAAATAAGTATAATAAAAAACCCAAATGTTTTACACTATTTTACATACAACAGGATGGTGGACTTGAATTTTTCTTATATAAGTGCCCTGTCAGCCCAATTAGGGAAAAAAACAGAAAAGTTCATGCAAATTACCGGTAGTAAAACTGTAATAATTAGAATAATAAATAATATAAAATGAAACCATCCCAAGAACGCTCAGTTAAAAATTATCATATATTACTATCTGATGAAATAATGCACAATATTATGTCATAAGGGAAGCCTGTGTCAAATGCTGCATAGATATGGTATGTATGAGTAAAGCAATTTTGGAGGTGGAAATGACTGCTTAAAGTAATAGGTAATAGTTGCAATCTGGGAAGAATTCTTTTCATGGAGTGAACTACTGTTTTACTTGAAAGTACTTGACATCAGGGTAGACCATGTGTAGAGCATGGTTAGATCAATTATTTACTGGGCTAATATCATTAGAAGAGGGAAGATGACAATTCATTAAATTTTGTTTACAATATACTGATATGTAATAAATTTATTTATTAACAGCTATTGTCTATTGTGCCTTCAGTAGGCTAGTTGAATCACTCACATCTTTCAAGCCCTCCATCCGAGACTCTAAACGGTTGACCCCTAACAACATTCCAAGCGACAGTACAACAGTCTCACTGATGCAAGTAAAATGTCTATCATTCATGGTGAAACCTCTTTAGGGTGCGTGCTTAAAACAATTCATTCCGACTATTAATGATGTATTTACAGAGAGAGTACATGAATACGTTGATGTGAAGCAAATGACAAGTCAATCGTAATTGGATAAACTAGAGTGAACACCTTTGTTACAATAAAATAGCAATGCAATGCTAGGACGGGAACCTAGAAATTTCAAAGAAAACGTGTAAAATCAAGCACAACATTTAAATAATCTATTTCAATACAGCAAGTAATTTCACAATGAGAAAAAAAAATAAACATTTCAACACATTTCCATAAATTTCTAACTGTACTGGAAAATGTAAGTAGCAATAAACCCTTAGCACCATTTTAATTGTCTAATGACCAAAATAAGAATTTTCCAATTCTTTGCTTTTTTTTTTAAGACTGTGGAAAGCAGACTTTATGCAAAGTACACTTTTTGTTGGAGGGGCTATTCAAAAAATCATCAGTCGCCCTGTATTTTTTTCACAGATAGTTCAACCATCTGTCAGAATACTTTAAAGAGAAACACCAGCATCTTCTTGGAAGAAAGAATTTTTCTGATAAAAATACTGAGGGAAAACAGGAAAATTTAACAATGGCAGCTTTACAACTATAAGAATATGAATGTAACAGACCCCCACAAAGTGACTCTATAATATTATGAGTACTGCAGTTATCAGTTCCACAGTAAATATCAATATTACTGCCATCATTTGAATATTGGCAGTTTAGTCTGACTGAACTTGTCAGTTCAATAGGCAGTGAATAAAATGTTTTGTTTTAAAAGAAGAACTAACTGAGCAACACAAACCAGTGTCATAGCCCTGAACAGGCAGTAAGCTATATACATGCGATAAAATTTTTGCATGAAAGTGAGAATAGAAAGCTGACCATTTTCCCTTGACTTCAGTTATGATGGATGGCAGTAGAAGTTTTTCTGTTTCTTTAAAAATGTTCTTCAGAGCAAACAGCGCCCTCAAACACCATGCCAGAGATGTTCTTTTGTTTTCACATGTGGAACTGATTACAAAACAACAGTGTAGTAGAGTTCACCACAATTTTTAGGCATCTTTGTTTCCATGGTAATAAACTGATATCTCATTCCTAGATATCATATCAAGTTAACAGTTTATAGTTTACACATTGTCTACGTGTAACACTGACAATGAACATTGAATTGGCAAACATTTTATAACTCAACAATGACTGCTTTTATATTCTCCATTCACAGGGAATTTGGGTGCAGGTCTTGGACTGCTTGATGATCCGTTTCTTGTATGCAGATGGTAGCGTTCTTTCAGCTGTGATAGCGCCACCATGAGTTTGCCATTTGCAGTGTCCAGGGTCTCAATACGTTGTTCTTGTGCTTCAATAATCTTTTGTTTGGAGATGATGACAGCCTGCATTTCCTCTTGTTCCTGTTTTAGTTCATCTTCAACACACATTAATCTAAGGGTAGAATGATTAACAGATGTCAAAGTACATTATATATATATATAATCAATTGCTGTCCAATCATGTTTAAAAACCCAGGTTCTTGGGATTTGTTTTAAAAACGTTATTTCTAAATGTAAATGATGTACACACCCCTACATGTTATATATACTTTGTTAGCTCAATATTTGAGTTTTTGGAAAGAAAACAAAAATATTTGTTTCCAAAATCTGGAATTTTTTTTTTTTTTTTTTTAAATTTGCATTTCTAAGATTTTAAGTTAGAGCAAACAACTATAATGCACTTAATATATATTTTCGACCTTCCTACTAAACAGGTGTGCATAATGTAATTTGACATAATGAAAAATTCCTATCTGAATATGAAGCTGTGGCTATTTCTGAACAATAATAAACAAACTTTTATGACCTTAAAGTAACTTTTGACTTCACGTGGCAGAGTACAAGGAGGAAATCAATAAACAACTGTTTCCATGGAAACAAGAAGTAGCCGTCTATTTAAGCAAATGTGGCACTGACAAATTGTGATTTCAACTCTTTTTAAATCAGGTTTATTTGGAAACCCATCATGATATTGAGTGAAATGATACTGAAGAGATTGTCTTATTTCATATGTGAATCATATTTAAAACAATACAGTGCAACAACAATGGTAGATTAAGATTAATCTCACTATCCATGATGCATCTTCCATATGTAATAATGTAAACAACATGACATAATTTGGTAGCAAAACAGAATTTGGAAATATAAATAGCATTATGGTTCAGTGAATGCTTATATATTTGATAGTACAAGATTTTGTACTTGCTAGGATATTACTTGTAATATATATCACAACACAATTGTTATAGTGTTTTAAATTTAACAACAAACTGAGACATTATTCTGTGAATTAAACACATCAAGCTAGGGAATAATAAATGATGTTCAATACACATAATGAACTATTAATATTAGGGTCCAATCTTATAACATCACACTGGGATGAGATATCAATAAATTCACAACATGTTTATGATAAACAACATACATTATATTTGGACAAATACATATGATACGCAATAACATACATTGAACATTGTTTGTGCAAGATGACAATGAATGTCTCTCATGACTATTTTCGATAAACATTTTGCCATTGAAACCATTATAACAGAGCAGTTAATCATTATGTAATTTGAATGCACTTCTTCCACAACCAGATTCCAGTGAATAAAACAAACAAATACCAGTCAATAAATGTCACTTATTGCTCATTGAGTTGTCATACACATACAGTACAACCTCAGGTTAGATTTTGATTTTGAAAAAACTACTAGGCTACTGAGGTATGTATGACAACAATTTATCATAGATTACAGCTCAAGATCCAAATGCACAAATATTCTTCATATTATACGAGAGAAAATAATAAAGTTTTGCAGTAATAAACATTTGAGTGTATTTTTAATCACACGATTGGCCTTAGAGGGAGGAGGCCTTTGGATGCATGGAACCATTTCAAACATCTTGATGACTATTTGAATATAAGCTAAAAACAAAAGTCATAAAAACACTACCTCTAAACACCACAACAAATGACTATGCAAGCCAATATGACAGAATAATATCAGTTTTAGACATGTACCATTATATGACAGAAAGATAATGGGTAATTTATAGGTTGAATGGACTTTAGACCTAGGTCTTGCAAAGCATGCTGGGAGATCCAAACAATTAGAGCAACACTGCAAGAAACAGAGCAATAAATGTTGCCATCTTCAGCTGTTTCAAAAATGTCAATATATAATCAGGTTGATAATAAAAGGCCAGACA